CCAACCTTTCACTGGAAGCGAAAACACGACAGCAGATTTGCTCGGCAGCTCATTCATTTTGCGCAGCCTGTCTGGTGCTTAGATCCCACGCCACGCCCGTACTGCCCACGCATAAAATCACCCAACCACCCCATACCCACTTTCCCCTGGCATTTCATTTGTATTCGAAGCATTGTGTCCTGTTGAACATTCTTAATTAGGTTAAATCTACTGTGCGACGCCGGGTTCTTGGGTTGGGCCTTCAGGATTTGGGGTCCGGAATGGGTATATGCTGCTCCTCCTCCCTCTCTCTCTCTCTCTTTGTGCATACACACCCTTTTGCTGGGACCCGTAATGAAGTCAGTCCTCCAAGGGGGAGCTGGAGGTGGCACCCGGAACGCGTGTTCGCCATTTGGCATAATTTAGTAGGCCGCCGGCCGCCAAAGACACAAAACTCATATTTGCAATTTAAATCCAGGAAATTAAACAATTACAAAGTTTATCGGCTGCCATCAACCTCGTCACCCCTCTCCAAAATCCCAACCATGTGTGTTCCTATTTAAGAAGATATATGGAAAGGATTTCTTATGGAGAAGTTAGTGTGGAAGCACACTTAAAATAAATTGAGGGTATTTCCTCCAAAAGCTAAAATATTGATGTGATTAGGGGAAAAATGTAATATTTTATACTTAAAGGAAGGCAAATTAGGTAGAAAAATTAGAAAAAAAAATCATTAAGGGTGCTTCTTCAATGTTTTCCAATCATTTTAGTTCCGAAAATAAAAACCTTTAACAGTATTTTGTAACCCATTCGTTTCTTTCCCAGCTAGCAACTCAGAACTCCGCTTTCTTCAAATACACTTCCGAGATTTCGGCGAATTTCGCAGAAAAAAGCCAGAAGCCTGCCGCCTGTCAGCCTGCTGCCAGCTCAAGCGCTTATTATAAATGAACTCAAATTTAATTAAGAGTTTGCAATATTTTGTTTCAGTCTGTCCAGGCACAACACGTCTCATCCCCATCAACTTGGCCATCAACATCAAGATGGTTGCGTTGTGTCTCCATTTCAGGCTTCATCACGAACAATATTAACGTCATTGTGTGGCCGGCCACTCCAGGTTCACTCCGGAGCCCAAAAAATGTTGTTAACTAAACTTTTACGCAAAATAACACAGCAGAACACGACACAAAAACCGTAGCCGTAGCCGTAAACGTCGACGTAACCATAACCGTAGAGCATGCCAGGAGCAAAAAAAAAAAAAGAAGAGAAGAAAGCAAACTTGAAATTCACTTTATTCGCGGGACAACAAGAAGACGCTGCCAAAAATCAACTATATACAAGAATATATATATATAAATTCTATATGTATGTCTAAGGGAGAGTCCTTTTTGTGTCCTGTTTTCCCTTTTATTAAATTGAATTTCACCCTCGGACATGGAAAGAGCCCGAGAATTGAAAATGAGGCCGAGGCGATATGTTTATGATGCCACTTGTCCTACCAAATACAATTTTCCCATTTCGGCGCTCATATTTCAGGACAGAGCACAGAGCACCACTGTTCGTCGCTTTTAAATTTGCTTTGACATATTTGGCTAACATTGGGCATTGGCCATATTGAAAGGAAGAACCCGAAAACACGTCCCTTCAACATCGAAGTCAGTCCGGGAAATCGAATTAAAAACTCATCTTTGCTCAATTTGTGCCCGCTCCTTGTCTCGCAGCAACCCATGTCCCACATTTCTCACAGCCACAGTCACAGATGATTTGGGCTCGTGTCCTGCCCAAAATAGCATCATCTATCCTTGCCAGCCTTTCCTCCGATACTCAGTGTATGTTGTTTTTCTTTCTTCTACTTTTTTATTGTTTTACTAGCAGAAAATCTGTTTTATTCGTACGTTTTTATTGTTGCTACGAGTAATTTAATGTGTATTGCATTTAAGCTAATATTTGAGTTGTTGCTGGAGCAGAGGTTTTAATGCCGCTTTTACGATCTTTTTATTGCCTTTTTATTTGCTGGCCCTTGGACCTGACCTGGTCACTGGTGGCCAAACAAAGCCACTGCTCGTGGGGTGCTTAACTTAACTCAACTAATTTTTGGAGCAATTACAACCGAAGAACACAATGGGATGAGCAAGGCAGGCTCCTTTATTAATTATAATTTCCCGTCTGGCAATTGCTTCATTTATGAGCAGCCAACACCCCAATATCAATCATCGTAAAAGGCCATTTTTGGTTTGAAACCCCTTTAAGGACACATTAGACACACTTGGCTGGGTGTTTTATATGAGAGTTGAGTTGAGTTTGTGTGCGAAAAAGGGGTTTTCCAATGGCTTTTCTAATCTCGACTTGACTAGTTGGTGGTGGGTCACTTCAAAGGCGAACGGAGTCTGGAATGCAAACAAAGATAATCTTGGCCACAATTTATTTACCTTTCGCTGACCAAACCAATTTACGATTTTAATCAAAACCAAGTCGGAGCAGGAGCTGCCATCAAAGCAAATAGTTGAGCTGCTGTCACTGTACGTAAGGGCAAAGGGCAGAGGGCAAAGGTCGAAAAGGCAGCCTGCTAATGCCCAGTGTCCAACCTAATTTGACGCTGACGAGGAACGAGAAACAAGGCAGTGGGATAGTTGAACTGGATGGCCCCCGCCTGTCTGTTTTTCCCACTGTCCATCTGTCCAGCTGTCCACTCGTCCGACTATCCAACTGACTGACGGACATGCCAGTCTGTGCATAATGCTTATTACCGCAATCATTTACAGCACTTGGCTATGGCCAAGAGCCCCTCTCCTCTCCTGGCATCTCCTAGGCCTGGTCCGGTGAAGATGGTACTTCTGGCTGCGGTCCCCCTTCGTGTTGAAGTCCCATTTCCCGAGGAATGCAATATGCAATCTCCAGGCAAACGCACTCAACTCCCCCACACATTAGTGAAAGTGTTGGGAGCAGTGAGAGAATAAACAAGTGAGCATCATGCCATCACACAGGCTATACACTGTGAAAAATCAATGTTCACCCTGTAAGGTCAAGAAGGTTAGGAAAACTACCTATATTCCCTTTGCCACTAAAAAGGTGAATCTTGCAATGAGTAAACCAATCAAATGATTTCCCTTTAATAAAAGTGAATAATTAATCCGTTTCTTCTTTTCACAGTGCCAACATGCAACAGTTTCCACTGTTTAATGGCGATCTGTGAGTAGCCCCCACTGCAAATGGTATTACACACACATGCGCCCGAGTGTGTGCATTGGTGTGGTGTCATGTTGGCTATTATGAATTGTGCAATTGTCGTCAACGCCAGCGAGATGCCATTCCTATTCTGCGCCGCTTTACGTTCCCCTTTTTCATTCACCATCTCCATCTCTCCCTCCAGTTGAGCTGACAGTCAGTCAGTCAGTCAGGGAGTCACTCCATCTCCTGGCTCCCATCTACCCCATATCACACTCCTTCTGTTAGTCACTTCTAGTGCTTGGTTTCATTCCGATTGCCTGCTCATCATCCAGCAGCTCTTTGTTTGGACGACGACGACGTCGACGATGCCACACACGGCGTATACTGAATGCGCTGCCTGCGTTTGCCTTCGTTTGCTTTCGTTTGCCAGCATTTGCCGCCATTTTTCAACCCACTATAGTCAGTGTTTTTTCTAGTTTGTTGTTGCATTGTTGTTATAACAACTAGTAGTATTGTTGCTGCTCCGGCACTCCTAGTAAATGACTCTTCAACGTTTGTCGTATTTGTCTGGCAGCACTTTGAAGTGCCAAATATTTTTACATTTGTATACTGCTGCTGCTTTTGTCATTTGTTTCAGTTTCAAGGCAACATTATTTCACTTCCTGACAAATGTTCCTCTTGCCTAACCCTGCTAACCTTTTCCTTCTTCCCTGATAGACCCGAAACGGAAATCAGACTGCTTTAGCATTTATGACAAACGGCGGCACTCTAATTAAGCCACCAAGTGGCCCAATCAGCCAGGTGAGAAGCGCAGCAGTTAATCAAGCGAGCAAGTATTTAATTAAGTACTGCAAATGGATGTGCATGCAATGGGCTTCATTATGGTCTTTGCGCCGTAAAATCTTTTACCGGCATTTCCCGTGATTCTCAATTGGGGTGGGAGTGGAGGTAGCAAGCAAGGTGGTAGAGTTGTATCGCTATAACATTTATGCGCTTTTCCCGGCGCATCAAAGTCATCAAATGAAACGAACAGCCCTGGCAATTCCACATCGTTCTATAGATATATACCACATATATATCTCAATCTGTGCGCTGAGGGTGTAAAGCTGTCAGCTAGTTTGCATTCATCAGCAGCAATGCCGGCAATTGAGTGACACCATCCTCATATCCCAGTATCATCAACAGAATCATCATCATCATTGCTCCAATGATCATCATTGGCATTCCCATCTCAAAGATTTACATGACAGCAGTTGCAGTTCGTTCGCTATTCATTTGCTGGCAGTCCTTCTGATTGCTTGCATTAGTGATTGTCAGTTGGGCAAAAAAGTGAAGCGGAGATGTGGGAGGCGTCGCTGTCTCTCCATTTGATTGCCATTGCAACACGTAAATCTCTTATGCTTATGAATATGAATGCGCATCGTGTATAAAATTCCATGTTTGTCACTCCGCATTGATTGAAGTGTGAGTCCTGCGTGATATACCCATACTAGTACATATATCCTCTTCATTATCCGAGTGCAACCATTATTGGGCTCCTTCAAAAGCGCTCCTTTGAGCGCTTTGAAACCAATTTATTGATTTCTTGCTGTGCAAATGAAAGTCGCCGCCCAAAGCAAGAACCTTCGTTTCGTATTCCGAATACCAATCAAACAGTTTCTCATGCCATTGTGAATGCTGTCGTCGACATTGGGCTAAAGCATTTAAGCCATTAACACGCAAAGGTCGCCAAATAGTATTGATTATGACCGCTGGGCCAGACGAAAAGGCCAAGACCGACCGCCCAGCCAAACGATAACAAATAACAATAACAAACAAACAATCGACACAAAGAGCCCGTGCTTAATTTGGGGGTTTGGGTTTGTCTGCGGAAAACTCAAGGCTTGTATAGCTAAACTGTTTTCCCTTGCCTCTGTCTGGCAGCCAAAGAGGCGTTTAAGAATGAATAAAAGTCTACTTAAGTTATGCCCAAATGATTGCAAGCTGTCAATTAATCTGACGAGCATGTTAATATAATCTCTACTAAGTATCCCTTATCTTTTTGATATTTTATTTGTATAAAAAGAACCTTCACGAACTTCAATCTACATTGAAAATTCAAAAAGCCTGTACTAAGCTCTATAAAATTGATTAAAAAGAAAACATTTTTAGCCATCTTGTGCTCATCCTATACACCTAAGCGTAATCTTTTTTCAAAGCCTTCTTCCTTTCCCTCTTCGAAGGCTTGAGGTAAGACCTGGGGAAACAGGGCAAGTATTTAGTCGATCGCCGGAGTCGATTTTGCCAATAATCAATAAATACCATTCGCTGAGGGGCATGAACACGTTGCACACGCAGGCATTCAGCAAATGCAGGACTCCTGCGACTATGCCAAAGGCACTCGATAAATAGAATAAGAATGCGAACTCGTTGCCGCAGTGCTCCGACATGGCTATGAGCAGGGTAAGGGCGCATGCTATGCAGACGAGGCCGCTGGTCAGATTGAACGTCATCGCCTGTAAAACACACTCGTTGAGCATTCATCATCATGGCTGGGAGAACTGCCGGAACACCCAGCATATGAATGAATCTATAGATGTATATATATCTACGCACAATTGGATCGAGGCCCACGGTGGTGCAGCACAGCCGGAATATGACGAGCACCACACTCTGCAGGGCAATGGGTGGCAGGAAAAAGATGTACATCCATACCGTTATCCCGTATTCCTGGCCCCGAACACAGTGGGTGAACAGGATTTGGATGAGCAGGACCAGGGCGATAACCTCTAGCAACTGATGGAAGAAGGCTGATATGTTATTGCCATAAAAGATAGCAAGATCGAGGTTCAAGTCACCGCCGTGGCCAATTGCAGCACAAAGTTCACGCAACGAAATGGGAAACTCATAAAGGTAACCAGAAATTTTGTTCAACTCGTTGACACTAAAAGCAAATGTCTTTGCAAATGGAAAATGGGGGAGTTCTAAGAGTAACTCAGCATCAAATATTGGTACTTTTATATTAAATTGTGTAACCATCTTCGTTTTAATTGCATTTCAAAGCATTTCGGGCACACTTTCTCTATTAAACTAATGATTTTTGTAATATGTATTAACATAACCAGACAGCGTGAGTAAGAGCCATTTATGAAATGGCTTTCTCTATGACTTCGCAGAGTATCTGCTTATCCACTTCGTAGCAACATTTTATTGTTTTCCCTTCCCTTACTTATTTTTTTTTTGGTTTTCCATTTTCCTTTGGCCCCCGCTAATCTAATTGGCCTCAATAACGCTTGTTGAGCGGAGTCGTTGCCCTGCCACGCATTTGTTGCTTTGTTTGCACTAATTTCATTACTTGTGGAATGTGGCGATGATTTCATGCAATTTAAAGCCACATTTTTCAGTGGCAAAGCATTTAGCATAGTACCTGACCGTACCGGACCCATGGAACTCGGGGGCCAAGTGCCCAAGTGCCGTCCCATAGCCGGGCTAGAGTCGTTGAGCTGGGTACACGGCCTGGCCCGGACCCACTCCAGGCTTTTATAATAATTGCCTGTTGACACGGGATAGCCAAGGGGCAGCCGGTTAGGAACGCGGGTTTTCGTTTTGGAACGCCGACTGGGATCGAGCAATGGAAATGCCGTTGATAAATGAAATTTTCAAAACGTGAACCAACAAAAGGGGACAAAAAACAAACGAAACCAAACCGAACCGAACACAAAACAAGCGGAAAAAAGGGGCGGCAAATATAATTTAATTTGTTCACATTTCAAAAGGTGCTCAATCTACTTTACCTTTCCTTTTTTTTTCTCTATAAACCCAAGCGAGGTTTGGTTAAGCATTGATTGAGCAAAAAACACTTAATTTATTAAAAGAAAAGAAAAGATAAAACAAGCAAAAACGAAAAGAAATCCTTCTTCTGATCAATACTTTGGCAAGTCAATTGCGGAATGGGCGGACAACTCTCCCGAGTGGCATAAATTTTGTCAGCTTTGTTGCGACAATTGCATATTAGCCAAACATGACAACGTTTCGCCTTTTCCAGTGAAATTTATGGAAAAATGCTGCAAAGACAAAAAAACTTTCGACTTGAGATAGAGATGCGAAGTGAAGTGAACTCCCCAGAGCAGCCGAAAAAAAAAAAAAAAAGAAAAGAGTACCAGAAACAGAAGCACGAGAAAGAGAAATGTTCTCGAATAAACAACAGCGGAAATGTAGGCTATGATTTGCTTACTTGTGGAGGGTTGTGGGGGCCGGGGCTGGCATAGCATTCTGCCAGGGGAGTTGGACCAATGACAAGGGCGGTGTGGCAAAAGTTGCAAAAGAGTCAGAGAGCTGGCGAAACATAAATCAAATGCATGTAAAATTTTCGTACTTTCCGCACACATATCCTGATCCTGTGCAAGTGCATTGGGCAGGCCCAAAGCAGGACAACTGGCAGAGGAAGGACCAAGGACGAAGAACGAATGAGAAAGGAGAGAATATTGGTGGGCGGACAGTAGATGTGTGTGTATGTGTGTGTGTGTGGTTCTAGCAAAGTGTGAGTGGGAGTGCGTTGTGTTTTGTGCACATCCGTTAACTTTGTCATTTTTGCTCATTTCCTTCCGGCATGTGCAAGAAAACTGCAGCAACAGCAGCAGCAGAAGCAGCAGCAGCAACAGAAGCAGGGGCAAACGAAATGATTCCCAGCAGCGCTCCACTGAGCCACTGAGCCATCGTGCCGCCGAGCCACTGAGCCACTGACAAGCCGTAAGCCGTAAGAAACCCAACCGACAACCAACTACAAACACAAGGCTGGCTGGCGAAACAAAAGCAATGCGGAAAGCGGCAATAAGTTGAGGGCATAACTTTCAGTGCCTTCAAGAACATACAAGCCAGTGGCTTAGGTGAAGGCGGTTTCTAAGGGGATGAAATTTAAACTCCTTTATCTCCTTCACATACTAAAAATCTTAACTTTTAATAGTGCCTCTTTAGACTGGCTTTTCTATGGTAAGTTTCTTGCCTGGCAAGGGCTATTAAGTATGGTAAGAGATGGTTAATATGGATTAAGTTAGTTAGTATTAGTTAGTTAAGTAAGCCATAATAATTGAATATTTAAATCAAACATTAAATATGGAATTTAATTGAAGGACTTTCAAGGAGTAAGTAAGTAATGAGTTAGTTTCTGTTATTTTTATTTTATTCTAACTTATTTTCAATCTTAAGTCTACAATTTATGAATGTAACTCAGTCGTAACCCTTCTTGTTCTGCCCAAAATACGCCCCTGCCTTAAAGGGTGAGAGGGCTCTGAGCATTTTGCATGAAATTAGAGTCGTAAGACACAACGAAAGCCGGGCAAAAAGTCTTGGGTCTATAACTTGCTTGTTGGAATTTAATTATTTTGCAGTTGCTGTTTCGATGGTGCAACTTGGTCACGGGGGTCTTATTTTTTGTACATTACACGCCCACCCTGCCACCCATACCACACTATACACCCAAAACCCAGCCCCACTGACGGGAATCATGTGCCAAAAATAGCAAAACTTTGCTGCAATTTTCATTCGCATTTATTGTGTTGACATGCTGCCACACTGCGTCTACGTATCCTTGATGCAGCCAAACAATTTATTTATTTAAGTCGAGTTGAGTAGCAAGTAGTAGGAAGGAGTCGGAGAAAGCGAGAAAACTTTCTGCCGTATGTTTGTTTGCGTTTGAGAACGGTAAAAATAAAAAATATTTGTACACTTCCCGTTGTTTGTAGTTGCTCGTATCCGATTAGATGTCCCTGGCTTCTCCTGGGAGGGGCTAAACAGGAGGCTACAGGGGGGTCAAAATGTAGGGAAAATGAGCGGATTTGAGCCGAACAGAAGTTAATCCCCATGCCACCTGCATTGCTGGGCTAAATGCATTCAAAGTCAAAGCCACATTAATTAACATGCTTAGCTGACTTTTATCAAAAACCAATTAAATCCACACACTCGCACACACTCACACACACACACACTTGCAGGGGCACAAAGTAAAGTTGATAATTAAATGAATCTGTGTGAGTGGCTTTGAGTTCAAAGTTGGCAGCCAGCTCTAAAACTCTCTGTGAACATAATAATTTTTTCTTTATTTTCCCTCAGTGTGTGTGTGCTCTTTGGCATAATGACACATGCGACACGATGGTATTAAAAAAATATGTATGCATAGCAAAAGGATAAAATAAATAAAAAAAAAAATCACAAATAACATTATTAACGTTAAATTAAACTTTGGAATTTTGTTTGGCCCCCGCCGCCAGACAGGCCCAAAAAAAAAAGGACTTGAAAGAACGAGCAGGAGTAACTTTTCAGAGTGAGTGCCTGGAAAGTACATTAAAACTGGGAAACCGGAAGTGAAGACCAAAGGCTTGTTTATGTTTACCGTAATTTGCGGCTCGCTCTCAAAACATAATCAAAGACTTCAAATAAAGCCACAGAGTTGGTCGTAATCGAGCATCTTACCTAGTCGACGCCACTTCGACTTCGACTGCGTGCGAATGTAGTGAGATTTTTCTCAGATTTTTCCGTAACAGCTTTTCCGCTGTTCCACCGCCATCGCCCACACTCGTATTTGTCAAGTTGCAAGCGTATGCGTGACACGTAGTAAATTAAATGTGAAACTCTGTAGCAGAGTGTAGCTAACTCGGAGTTTAGTGTTTGTGTGTGAAGCTGAGTTTGAGTGGCTACAAAGAATCCTGTTGAACATATATATCAGACTATATATATACATATATATATATAGAAAGAGAGAGAGAGAGAGAGAAGCCCATATATGTATGTGCCCCATGCCTCGGCTATAAATCATCAAAGTTCAACGTTTGCCATTTTGTCTACAATGTGCCAGAGTGTTCGAAGGAGTGTGTGTGTGTGTGAGAGCAAAAGTCTCTGTTTGCGTGAGTGTTTGTACCCAAATGTGTTTGCTTTGCAATTTCCTTTTATTTATTTAAAGTTCTTTAGCAAACATAGCGCTCTCTGTACCAGCATCCACCCCTGCCTCCCTCCCTCCCAGACTGGCGGCAGGCAATGTTCACATTAAGTTTTCTGCCAAAAGTTTTAACAAGTAATCTTTTAATTAAGTGCCAGCCATACTCCCATCTCAGACATCTCAGTCTTAGTCTTAGTCTCACTCTCAGTCTCGCTCTCTGACACATCCTGGCAATTCGGCAATCCTAGAATTATGAGTGCCGCAGAGCAACAGGAGGCAAGCGGAAGGCGGCAGGCGGCAGGCGGCAGGCGAGCACAAAAACGCACAAATCTAATTTGATTAATGGTCAGATGCTAAGCTTAATTAGTGGAAACAGCAGCGAAAAACCTAGCAAACCGAGCGGAATCGGCATTAACGCTTGCCACAAATACAGGCGAAATAAGAAATTAAATAAATAACCACAAAACAACAACTAATTGCACCGCAAACGACAATGGAATACACAACCAGCCAGTGAAAAGGAAAAGCGAAAGAAAAATGTTGGGAAAAAAGGAAAAGCTGAAAATATTTCGCAACTAATAAAAACATTGCGGCGTACTAAATCAACTGGAAAACTGTAAAACTGTAAAACACATTGAAACAAAGGTGGGCGAGAAAAGCGTGGGAATGCTGAAAGGAAAAGTTATATAAGACTTACAGATACCCTGTGGATTAGTAACAAAATAGGAAGATTTCAACTTAATAAAACAGAAAAAAATATATCCTAAGTAATACTATTTTATAGTTTAATCCGCTTTGAGTTACAAAATATGTAAACAACCAATACACCCCTCACCTCCTCTAATACCTCACAGTAAAAGGAAACCAGCTGAAGCAAGGTGAAAATAAATGAGAAAGATGGTAAATAGTTTCCCCAAGGGCCTGCAGAAATAATGGCAACTGACATTTGACATTAGTTTCCTTGCACCATGAACATTTATATATTTCTCCAGCGGCGCTAATTAAAGCGATTGCCATGAATTATAATTGCAGCACTTAAGCAGTAAGATGCCTCGGAATGCATATGCAACGAGATCTTAAATGGACTTTATCTTTCTGTCTCTTTATCCACACACACACACCCAATTGGAGTCATTGCACCCGCCAGAGTATAGAGTTTTCCTCTACTGCGTTTTTTTTTATTGTTTTGCCATTCTAAAGCATCGGATCGCATTTCATACAATTGCGAATTGGAGTTTACTTTGTCGGGTAAGTCTTTTTTTATCGTCGGGTAATTGGACTCCACTTTCAATTGCTCTGCTCTCTAAGCGTCTCTTGAGTTTTCAACCTTAATTGCACTTTAGCAACGTTTCTGGTTTGTTTGTGTTTGACCGAAATTCATTGCTACTGCTGCTGCCTCCGACTCCACTTGATCGATTGATGGATTGATTGAGTGATTGATTGTTGTTCAAGTGCCCTGGCCAAAGGAGAGAAATATTTGCATAGATTTAACTAATTGCCGGACAAACGAAAGTTCCAAGTTGGCTTAAATCAAGTGCCTTCTACTTAACCAAATATCAGCAAATCGATTTTTATTTTGTTTTGGTACAAATTGTGTTATTAACATGATAAGCCTATTGAAAAATGAAGAGTCTTTAGGTAGATTGACAGAGGATCAAAAGCTAAACAGGAATCATAATTGAGTTGCCCAACAAACGATTTCAATTAGCAGGAATAACAACAGCTCCGCAGATTGGCCAATCAGCCAAGTTCACGACCTTTTTTGGTCAAAAGTCCAAACACGAGATGAAAACTTGGCCAAACTTTAGCGATAGCAGCTGCTCCTAATTAAAGCCCAAAATCCCTGCATTTTAGACTAGAAAAAAACCGAAAAGCTGTAAGGACGAGGAGGGGAAAGTTTTGGGGCGACGCTAAACCACTTTTCCAAGATAAACGACACTTTTGGCAATTTATTTGGGCCAGTTCTCAACGCTTTTTGGCCAGCACATTTTTGGGGTATTTTCGGGTATACTTTAGAGCCCACATAACATTTCAATTTCCTGGACCATGAATAATGGCAAGTGTCCAAGAGCCAGGCTGGCCAAGTAAGCTAACTAAGCCATTTATAAGCCGGGAAACTAAATACCGAACCCAAGTCGAAGGCTTGTGGCCAAGTTCTGTGGCCGGCTAATTGAGCTAATTGCAAAAAAATAGCTGTCAATGTTTTTCGGGGGCAACAACTTCTAGGAATCAACGATATTGATTTTCATAGTCCATCATTCAATTAGTTACCAGGCAGGCGGCAGAGGGGCTTTACAGTTTTCGTATCGAATTTTGAGAGAGTTTATTAAATGATATTTCCTTGTAAGCTGACAGCTTCGCTCAGCCTGGCTCAATGACAAACCAGACATTGACATGAATATTCACTTTTGAGCAAACACACGGATGGATTTGCCGACACTTAATATGGCAGCATGTTAATATTCATATGCCCCACCTGAATTTTCCAGCCCATCCCCCTCCCCCCTCTTCGCATTTGTCAGTCAGAAACGTCACAAACACAAGCGCATCTAGATATGAATGTGTATATGTATTTGTGGTAAATTTAAACTCAATACCCATTTAATTTTTGGATGAATATTGAGTTGCTGTCCTCTTCATTACGTCCTCCTAGCCACGTCACGAGTGTAATAATTGATATAAAAAATAAATAAATTAACGAAAATTTAATTACCTGATGGCTATTTGTTTTGGCCGACGTCTGTTTTAATTGCTATCGATGGGACAATGGCGACGACAAGGGCATGTGGCCTAAAAACGACAAAAGGGTTGAATATCACAACAATTATTAAATAAATAATAAAGTAGAAACGTGTTGGTCATATTATATATATATATATATATATTTTGGGGTCAAGAAAAATCACAATTCAATCAGAGGGGCAGTGCGGAGGGTTAAACAGAACCGCCGTGGCAACGACCACCGCATCCGCAATCACTAAAAATTAATTTCAATTTTATTGCAGCGAAGGATAAAGGATGGTTGGATGATGTCCTGTAAAGGGGAAGGGGAAGAGGAAGGGGAAGTGGAAAGAAGGATGGTGCATGAAACCCGGCCGCAGTGTGGAAAACAAAACTGAAGTGAAATATGCAGATCAACTTGGCTGTCAAGGGGCGAGCGCGGTGCAGTGGAGTGTATTTTCAGCAAAAGCCAAACATTTATGAAAATGCAAAAGCGTTTTTAAGGTTTACCCCAGGTAAGCTGCACAGCATCAACAGCGCCAGCAGCTGCAGAGCGATATTAATGTGAATGGCTGCCAAGTAAAAAAAAAAGAAACAAAAAAAAACAGGAAAAATAAGAGCAGAAAACCAAAACTAAACTGGCAGGAACTGCGGAGGGGGAATGCCAAAAAACAGAGCATGAATTGCGGTTTAAACATTGAATTATGAATATTTCTTTACCTCGACCCCGACCTGGATTTCCCCGGGTGCCAGCGAACATTTATCATCCTGCCAGCCGAGATTCTGATTAAAAGCGAGAAATGTTTCGTAATAATCCCCTCCTCTTCTGGCAAAACCAAACCAAGCCGTGTCTTACCAAAATCGCGAATTGCGAATCACAAAATGTATGCATCAAAATTGCAAGAAGGCTTGGCGCCCCCAAAAAAAAAAATATATATAGTAGAAGGAAATCTGTGCCACGAGTTGAGTCTTATTTGGGATCGGGAAATTTTGCGCATTTCCCCAGTTTTGTTTAGCTGAATGATTACGTATAATGAAGAAGAGGAAATCTGCATTCAATTTGTAAAGCAATTCACTTGCTTCTTATGCTAAATGGCAATGGCATTATATAAATTAGACAAAAGCGAAAACTTTTCCAACAGCGAGATTTCCATCCTCCTCCGCAAAACCATAAGCTCAACCCGATACCCGGGAATTTCAGCCACGGGCCTCGAGCACTATAATTGGCACAACTTTTGCTCGGTTAGCATGAAAACTCATTTATTTCAGCGCAATCACACACACACACACACACACACATACACAATGATGGACAGAAAGTAGAAGTTATAGCAATTAGCGGACTCAACTGAATGGAGCCAAAAGAATTAGGCAACAATCCAGACAATCGTAGCCAGGCAACGCTCAGCTAAGGAGGAGAAAGTAGACCCCAAGCCGATTGAAGTTGAAATGCCATGAAAGGATGTTTATCTTTTTTACAAACTAGTTCTTGATTTTCAAGTAATTTACTGCATAGATATTGCAGAGAAAGAAAATATTACTTTCCGTAGGAAATATCCTTAAAGGAAACTAAAAGCTAAAACCTTAATAAAAACTAAAATATAATTACGATAAATGTGTTTATTATTATGGTTAGTTTTCGCTTTCGTTTTTTATGACATTCACAAGTAATTAAGAAAATATTCCAGGACTAAAAGTAATTAAGAAATATGGTTCGTTGGCCTGACTAACTATCAGTAATCAAGAATTTCCTATATAAAGGACAATCGTAATTAGCTGATTGTTCCGAGTATTTAAATGATGTCAGCTTACCCCATTTTCCCCTCATTTTGCAATTACCAACGGCTGAAAGTTTTCTCACAACACTTTTCTTTTTCGCTGAATATGTATAAATATTTTTGGGGATATCAACTTTGTATTGATTTATTGAATTTTTGTCCACTTTTCAATAGCTGACTGACCAAACTCATTAAGGCCTATTCATATATGAGAGTTTATATTGTCTCTATGAGAATATCCTGCTGTCCTTTGTTTTCTTTTTTCCCGAAAATGAAAAAATTGAAAAATGAATTTGTCATTTAATTAAGTCGGCAGACAGAATATAATTTGCGCAATTTATGCACGACATGCCATTTGCATAATGCAGCGCAACAAATCACAAATCAAATGTTTATTAATGCCCAGACATGGCCTGAAATCCACAGCCAGGCCACATACCGAATCCATGGCCATATCCATATCCATATCGTTTTGCATTTTGCAAAACACGCTCCGCTGGCCCGTCCTCATGAATTATGTGAAAACAACTCAATCAAAATGCAAACTGTCAAAACATAGCAGTTGGGCTAAAATACAAAAAAAAAAACAAGAATACCAAAAAGGAGACTAGTAACAAATGAATTAGCCATATCTATGCGCCTGGCCATGTGGGAGAGTGTGTGAGTGACGGCGTGATAACGCGTTATTACACTATAAAATCATTAATATGGCGGCTCTAATGTCGCGGATATGTAAATGCAGGCTGTGTCACGCGAAACGCTTATAAAAAAAATATAGAATGTATATAGACAACAAGCCCTGAAATGCGGCATTAGCTGCCTATAGACGAGATACTTTGACAACGCCTACCATTTGAGCCCATTACCCAACACTTTGGCCATAAAGTCGAGTGTGTGAGAGGGCGCCCCAGTGCCAAGGCAACGAAATCTATTAGTTTCCCAAGGCTTGGCGGGAATTCCAGGCCAAGGAAGAGGTGGCAAGCAACCATGAGCAGCGACAATTCCGTAAATTTGATATGCGCAATTTGTTGGCAAACGAGGCCAGCGACGAGAGACAGGACGAAGGACGAGTGAGCCTGGCAACCTGTTGCCGCTTGTTACGCACTTTTATGACGCCAGCGGGTGGGCTTCGAGTGGATTGCGTGTGTGTCTCAGCCCTAAACCCGGAAAAAAACAACCTCAAAGTAGTCCCCATTAAAGGTAATATGCCACATGACTCGCTGATGGAACTCAAACGCACACACAACCCTTTGGCAGATTGCTCTAACCTGGCCAAAAGGTTTCAAATTTATTTTTAGTTTGATAAAATTTACAATTTAATATTACATTTGGTAAGCCAAAAGTTAGTAAGCAAAAGAAATTTACAATACTAAATGCAACATTTTGATATCCAAAGATGAGATCTCACATTTGAAGCTGGAAAATTCTTAAAAAATGTTATATGCTTATTGCATTATTTTTTTTTCATTGTGCATTTGATATGCAGAGAAAAAGTGCATAAGTTTCTGCCAAGGCCCCGATATACTTATAGTTTATACTTTGGCAAATCTCAGTTCAAGACAAAAGTAGCCAACTCAACTTGGAAAGTTTCTTTCGTCTTTTTCCTAGTCTTTTCTGTTGCAGCTTTTGGAATTTCTTATGCAGCTGATTGCATTTGGCCAAGAGCACCGGCAACGGCAGCAGCAGCAACAGCAGCAACAGCAACAGCAACAAAAGGCAACTGCAGCTGCAATTGAATTTTATAACAAACAATTTTACGCTTTAAGCACACTAGAATTTGGTTTTGTTGTAGCAACCAATGAGACGACTTCTGCCTTGAAGTGCCCGGAGTGCGTCATTGACTTTGCCTCTGGCCAATGGCACTTTCCTCAGCTTTTTTCTCAACGTTCTTTTTTTTATTTATCGTTATTTACCATTAGCTGACTTTCACCTCCTTTTCCCCCCTGCTTTCCTTTTTTTGCTGCTGCCTGCAAGGACCTGGCTTTCCTCGGACTCTGTAACGACCACAATAAGCATTCTGGCCCCGACTACTTGCGCTCGCCTTTATTTTCTGCGGCTTCCTCTTTGGCAGCCTTGAGGGTAATCGTGGCCCATAAGCAGGCACAAAGTTTAATAAAAAAAAAATAGCAGAACAAAAACGAAATCAATTCACCTACCCAGGCAATTATGGCGCAGAAAGTTCTAAAAGTATAAAACTTATTCAAATTGTTTTTAATTAAATTAAGTTTCGGCTAATGTGAGGCACTGTGGCCCAAAGGGGGTAACGAATTGAAGCAAATTAAATGGTTATAATGAAGATAAGTCAGTTTTTATATTGAGCTATTTAATTTATACAGTTATCATTTAGATTTTATTGCTATTATTAAATCTATGAGCAGGCAATATGCTAAATTTTATATTTTATCGCTTTCCAAATTTATGCTCAGCCAAAAAGTAGGCCATGAAAATGTATAATTCTAAAAATGTAATCATAGTTTAAGCAGAATTTAAATATTAAACTTAAAACATTTTAATGAATTTGTCTTTTAAAAAAGAGCATAAAATTTATATACTATTTAGTACACTTTTCCATTTAGGCTTCCTGAATTCTAAGTTGATTTATTGGCTGCCTTCAACACATTTTATTTTGATTTACTTTATAAATACGAGTAAACTCTGAATGCTCCAACCAAGTCATAAACAATTTAAGGCATTTTAATAAAGTTTAAGATTAAACCAAATTTAATTTTTACATTTTCTCTCTGGCAAGAAGATGTTTATCACATTTTGCGCAGACTCCAGCATTTTCCTAAACTAAAGCTTAACAAATTTGTTAGAAAATCTTTCTTTTTTTTTACTAAAAGATTTGCTTTCTTTATTTAATATTGCATGTGTGTGTGTGTGGATTTATCGCATAAGCATTTTTTAGCAGGCCTCACACTTAAGACATAAACACATTTTGGTTGGAGATTCAAGACAAAGTTTTCACTCACCACACGTACCCACAACTCCTCCTGGAGCCAGGACATTCTAATCCCATTCCAGCCCCTAGTGTATAATTATTCTATCTGTCGCATATGCATGAGATCAGCTATAAGGCATGGTACACGCCCCCGATGTCTCCATCTGGCCTTATGTATGTATATGTATTCATATTCGCATGCCCAACTTCTTCGTCCTCCCACACCGCCGCTTCATTAGCAACTTTGTGCGTATTCATTAGGAAGCAGCAACAGGGGGCGCACAGCCCAGCACCAAAAATCCTCCCTAGCGTCCCACACAGCTGCGGCTGGTTGATAAAAGATTTATGCG